AGAGTCATGAGGACTTAGTAAGTAGGTTAATAATCAGGATAATTGGGGTTACTATATGGGTTATAGGGGTTACTAACCTACTTACTAAGTCCCCCTGGCCCTCCAAGTAGTGTATATCGAACAGCTGGGTTTTGGAAGTCTTGGGTATGTTTTAGCATGGCAGCCCCGAACCCTAAGCCCTAAACCCTTAGCCCAGGCCCCCCTCCGCCTTGCAGCTGTCTGTACAACGGCTGCGCCGCCAAGCTCGAGGCACTGTGAACCGTTCGAAGCTATTAGCAGCAGGCCACCAATCGTGGCCCTGGGGTATTCATATGTTTTTTGGTCTATGTTCGACTGTAATGTAGTATATGAGAAATCAGTAGTAATCATATTGAGAGCATTTGGTCCATATTGTATAGAGGTGCTTATCACACTGGGGCTGAGATTCTGGGGATTCTTAGCTACACGACCCCTCAGTGGAGGGTCGGTCTCTGGAAGCTGCGCTCAGCACCACCACACCGGGATGTCCTTTCTGGCAAGGGGTGATGAAGCTACGGGTTGGGGGCTTAGTATGCTGGGCTCTTGGCAGTTCTGATATAAAAGAAAGACACCCAAAATGCGATGGCATCATGGGGGGGATCCCGAGAAAATCCCACCAGGGTAGAATCGAGAACGAAGATCGCATGAGTTTCTGATGAAACTAGAAACCGGCATAGCGCACCTAGACCATGGAATGCTGCGAGTTTCCTATTATAAGGCCATTTCGGATTTTTGAAGATGGTAGTTTCCCTAAATTAGGGGACCCCAATATAGACCCCAAAATATTATAATCCTGATAATAGGAACCCCCAAAATGGTACGCCTAATTCTTGGGAAACCCCCATATCAACAGCAGGAACAGGGGCAAAGCCTTGGGCTGGAGAGTCGATTTCCACCGCTCGATCCAAAGGAAGGCAAGGGAAGTATAAAAAAGCACGCAAGCGGATGTCTCCTGAATCCTGATAAGTGCTTAGAGGGAGTGGGAGAGTGGATCCCGATAGTAATCGCTACATAATCAGCGCTAGTACTGCCTACATTCCATCCCACTTCTGCTGAAGCGCCTGCCGGTAAGAGTCGGAGTAGCACTTGATGGCCAGAATCCCAACTGGGTTGGCCCCTAAAACCCTTTGAAAAATCTTAGTATATAGGGTCCCTTATTAAAGCCATTCGGGAAAATATTAAAGATCCCAGGGGCCTACCCAGCCAACCACAGATCTTACGCAACTCAACCATCAGTGATCAGTCTCTCCTGGATGTGAAGCATACTGTCATTTGAAACAACATTCGCCCCTGAACCACATATCACAAAGCCATAAAGGCCCTAAACCTCCAACCCCTGACCAACACGCTACAACCCGAGTTTCTTTACCGTAGGGTGAGTAAAAGAGCACAATGGGGGGGTAATTATTTCATAGAGCTTCTAAAGGGACAGTCTTGCGGAAATTGAAGTCGGATTTCAGACGTCGGCTTGTGCTGACAGCCTCCCGCGCTCTAGGCACGCGACCAGTGTGCATCATCATGATCAAGTAGAAAGGCGAAGCCATGGAGGGCCACTTACAAATCAATCAAGAAGGTGGGCTTGTGCGATGCCTACAAGACTGAACATGCTCTGCCTTTCATTACAAAACCTTCCGAGCAGATTAGCAGATTAGATCAGTAGATGCTTTAAGCCTGCACTTGTGTCCCAAAACCCCTGCAAGCAAGCTTTTTCAGGGTGGTATCTTCATTCATCCGCATTCGCTACTGTAGCTGCTTGACGCTTGGAAGCGTTTACCTTGCATTACGGCTTGAAGCCCTAAATCCTCGAACCCCGCGAGGACATTGCCTCCACCTGCCCGACCCACCTTCCCGATCTCCTGTATGAAAGCCCGACACCCCAAAAATCCCAGGAAGCGTCCTCAACAATGATGATGACAACGATGATGGCCAGTAGCAGAAGCAGCTTTTCAAGCACCTCTCGCCAAGCGCATTGTGATTCTTCATCTCAGGGAGCGCTGAGCGGAATACGGTGGCTTGGTTGCCAAAGCATAGCATACACAATGAGGGACAGGTATTGTCCAAAAAACACCTGAAAACACGTGTATATATATATACATACA